TTCTTTCATTTACAGGTGTCCTAGGATTTTCTCCATTGATTTCCTCCTGTTCCTTTAGTCTTTTTCCAGAGAGTATGAGTGAATCCGCGTCAAAGAAAGATTCTCTCACCTGTGCAGTGTATGTTCTCTTCTGCTTTTTTCTTCTCCCTGGCAGCTTACTCTGCCTTTTCTCAGAGCCACTGACCTGGTAGGGAAAATGTTCTTGGATATCACCTGTTCTTTGTATATGTAATTCCTCCACAGGGCCATGTCCAGGGTTAAAGGACTCAGGCTCAATGTCAAGTGTGATAGGTGTCTTTTCTCCAGTTTCTTTATCCAGATGGGTGCTGATTTGTAATGTGTCACAAGGAGATACTTTGTTTTTGGGTTCTGAGAAAAAAATTATATAATTAATAATTTCCTTTTAAATGAAACAAAAAATATCCCATTATTTATTTTAAAATGTTATATTAAAATACTACATTTATTTATGAAAGAGTCAATGGTATTTCATTCAGGCAGATCAAAGTTCAAATTTTTAATATTCTAATACACTAATAATTTTAAGTAAATGTAAAAAACAGAATTGTGCTGGAAAAAATGATTTTAAACTAAAAGATAATTTATTCTTTATTGCAATCATCTTTCTTTAGTTTTTGACTCCAGCTTTACTGAGGTACAATTGACAAATAAAATTATACATATTTAAGTTATACAATGAGATGTTTTCATATAGGTATACATTGTGAAATATTACCACAATCAAGCTAATTAAAATATCCATCATTTTTGGGTGGCTCAGTCAGTTAAGCATTTGACTCCTGATGTTGGCTCAGGTCATGATCTCAGGGTGTAGGATCAAGCCCTGTGTCAGGCTCAGTACTCAGTGGAAGTCTGCTTGGGATTCTCTCTCTCCCTCTCCCTCTGCCCCTCTTCCCCACACTCTCTCTCTCAAATGAATAGATCTTAAAATATATATATATAATATATATATACATCATTTCACATAGTTATGATTTTGTGTGTGTATGTGTGTGGAGGGAACACTTAAGATCAGTTCTCCTAGCAAATTTCAAGTATATGACACAGTATTATTAACTACTATTTCCATGCTGTATATCAAAGCTGCAGGACTTATTCATTCTGTATAACTGAAACTCTGTATGCTTTGAACAACACCTTCTTCATTCTGTATAACTGAAACTCTGTACCCTCTGAACAACACCTTCCCATTCCCCCTACCATCTCACCTAATTTTTTATTTCATGTCCTTTTTTTTTTTTGCTCAAGTAATTTTAATAGCCTCCAATTTTATGATTATAAATACCTATTAACATGAGTAATGACCATTATTTTTTAGAATGCTTCTGGCCAGACTTTTTTCTCTGTACATATATAAATACTTATTTTTTTAAAAATCATCTTTCCAATATTTACACAATAAATATAATTTCTAAAAGTTGAGAGGGGAAAGAGCAACTAAACAAACAATCCAACCAAAAGAATAGTTCACCGCTCACAGGATGGGGAAAAATATTTACAACGTATCTGATAAGGATCTAATAGCTAGAATATATTAAGAACACTTAAAACTCAACAATAAAAAGGCAAATAATCTAATTAAAATATTGGCAAAGGACTTGAATACATATTTCTCTGAAGAAGATATACAAATGGCCAATAAGCACATGAGAAGATGCTCAATATCATCAGTCACTAGGATGTGCAAATCAAAGCCATAATTAGATACCACTTCACATCCACCAGGATGGTTATAATTTTAAAAATGGAAAATGACAAGTTTTGGTGAGGATGTGCAGAAACTGGAACCCTTGCGCATCGTGGTAGGAATGTAAAGTGGTACTGATGTTGCAGGAAACAGTTTGGCAGATTCTCAAAAGGTTAAACATAGAATCACCATATGACCCAGCACTTCTGCTCCTAGGTATAAACCCGAAAGAACCGAAAACATACATCTCCACAAACACTTGCATATGAATGTTCATAGCAGCATAATGGCCAAAATTCATAATAACTGAAAAGTAGAAACAACCCAAATGTCCATCAACTGATGAATGGATATATAAATTGTGGCACATCTATCCAATGGAATAGTATTCAGCTGCACAAAGAAGTGAAGTACTGATGCACGCTTGGATGTAAGTACAGAGGGATGACTGTTGAAAACATGATGCTAAGTGAAAGAAGTCAATCACAAAAGATCACATATTATATGGCTCCATTCATATGGAATGTCCAGAATAGGTAAATCCACAGAGGCAGAAAGTAGATTAGTGGTTTCCAGAGTTTGGCAGTAAGATGGGTACACGGTTTCTTTTTGGGGTGGTAAAAATTCTGGAATTAGATGATGATGATGGTTTGCACAATCTTATGAGTACACAACGAACCACTGAATTATACATACACTTTAAAAAGAGTCTATTGCTTGTTCTATCTTTTGGTTATGGAAAAAAAAAAATCCACAACCAAATATACCTGGAAAATGAATAATAAAGCAAGCATAAGTAAATGGCCTAGCTTTACCTGAGTGGTTTAGCTGTGGTGAAATTTCCTGCTGGAGCAAGCAATCATGTTCTTCCACTGTTTTTTTAATAGAATTCTTAACCTTCTCAGCTCTTTGGGCACGCTAGAGAAAACAAAAGCAGCTCAAGGAACGAATTTAAGAAAAAGAAGTATCTTTTTAAAGCTTTATTATTACGAAGAATTGTTTGTATATAGTTCATCCTATACAATACCTCAGTTTGAGAGAATAAGATTCACTCACCTGAAGGCGGGCCAGTGTCTTGCTGTATTCCCTTTTCAAGAATGCTAATTTTTCCTTCAACTGGAAGAAGAAAAACAGCAAACAATACTGAGCAGGTAGAAAGGAAGAGTCAGAGAGAATGGACACAGTGCCTGTCAGGCCCAAGTAAGCAGTGCTTAGCAGGTCCCTCAGCAATAGACAGAGGGAGTAGCAGGTGTCCACACTACTTTCAGTTCTCACAAAGCACCAAGCTCTCCAACACCTAAGCACCTTTACCTAAATGGTTCCTACCACCTGGAGCGTTTCCTCCCCAGCTCATTTTGCTAAGTCCTACTGATTCCTCAAGCCTCAACTTAGATTTTTATTCCCCCAGGGTAGACTTCTAGGTCCTTCCTGAAATCCAGGTGGGACATTCCACCTCTCCACTGTGCTTCCTTTATCACAATACTTATTATATACTATGCTGTCTATTTACTTCTGTTTCCCTCCATCTCACTGTGAGATCCCTTAAGGTGGCCGGAGCTGTCATCCTCAGACATTCGTCCAACAAATGAATTTCTTGTCAGTTAATGGTCCAGGTATCTGTAGTCCCTGGAACAATAACTGATAACCACTCTCAATTACGGTCTCAGATGCTAGAACTAGAGTTGTCAAGCTTACACACAAGTTAGGGATACAAATAATTAACAAGAAAACGAATACACAGACAAGATGATATCACATGGTAATCAATACCCAGATCAACAGGGAGATGTGAGAGTGCCTGAGCCACCTTAGGTAGGGTGGCCAGAGAGGCATTTCTGAGGACTTCCTTTCGAGCCCAGACCCGAAGGAGCAAGGAGCTAGCTTTGGGAAGATCAGAGGGAAAGCAATTTGTCCAAGATCACACAGTTTATCAATGGAATGATCCAAACCCAGGTAGCTGGATTCTACAATCTGTGCTCTTAATCTCTATGCTAGTTTGCTTCTCACAGGGTCCTCTTTATCACCAACCTTATCAACATTTAAGAACTATCTTGTTGACTTGTAAATGACCTATCTCACCCTCCACGGGAAGGTAGGCTTGGATAAGAGGACTGATGAGCTAATGTGAACGAAGAGTCTAGCACAATGCCTGGAACAGCCAGCACAGATACATTCAGGCTAACATCATAAGCAGGAGCACAAGGTGGCATGGGTAAGGATTGGTCAGAGCAGCACTGCTGTAGAAGCAAAAGCTGGAAACAACCTAAAAGTCTCTCATTACAGTAATGTCTAATGAAAAGATGGCACTTCCATAATACATAACACTATACAGAACTTTAAAAAGTAAGGTAGCTTGGGGCACCTGGGTGGCTCAGTCGTTAAGCGTCTGCCTTCGGCTCAGGTCATGATCCCAGGGTCCTGGGATCGAGCCCCACATCGGGCTCCTTGCTCAGCGGGAAGCCTGCTTCTCCCTCTCCCACTCCCCCTGCTTGTGTTCCCTCTCTCGCTGTCTCTCTCTCTGTCAAAAAATAAATAAAATCTTAAAAAAAAAAAAAAAGTAAGGTAGCTTAACATGAAGTAACATGGATGAAACCTGGAGAAGTAAAATCGAAGTTGCAGAACCATTCAGCTCATACCATTTGTGAACAAAAAATACACACTACTTTTTGGTGGTTAGGGAATATAACCACAACCTTCCAAATCACCCACCTCCGTCTACCACACACACATACACGCGCGAAAAGATCTGAAGCATCAAGCTGTTCAGAGATCTACTTAAGGGAGCGGGTGGGAGAAGCCAAGATTGATAAGTGTGGGGGTGGGGAGAATGTCAAAGGGGACTTTGGCTTTATCCAGATTTTTACGTTTCGTATTTATGCATCACTGCTGTAAGAAAATTTGTTCTTTAAATGCCTCCACGTGAGCACAGGGCTCTTCATATTTTCATTCCCGGTGCCCGCTGAGTCCAAAGAGCGTAGGTCAGAGATCACTGCCACCCCCGGACGGTAAAATCCTAGGCAAGGAGTCACTTCCGAGTCAGCCCTTCCCGCACACCCAGGGCACCTTTTCCTTCTCCTCACAGCTGAGGGGCTTCCCGGGAGGCTCTTCCATTGGGCTGGCCGCCGGACGGAAGGAGCAGCCGTCGCCGGCCCCGGGCCTGCGCACACGAGGGCTCCGGCGGGCTCTGGGCCCCGGCGGCGCCCAGGAAAGAAACCGGGCGCCCGGGACACCCCCGGCGCGCCACCAGCTTGCACATGCGGGAACCGCGCGCCGTCTCCCCCGGCCAATTACATCCACCGCTCGGCCTGCGCACGCGCAGCTGGAGACGGCCGAGTAATAGAGCGGGGCCGCCTAGCGGAGAGCCGAGCTGCGGAGAAGAGCGGAGGGCGCCCAGAGCGGAAGTGGAGGAGCGGCCGGAAGTAGCCTGAATCCCAGTCTGACTGACCGGCTGACAGGCTTTGACAGGAACCGGAGCTGCGAGAAGGAGTTGGTGGCCATGGAGTTGGGCGAGCTGCTTTACAACAAGTCCGAGTACATCGAGACGGTGCGCGTGTCTAGACATCTGCCCTCTCTTTTCCGAGCCTGCGTCCCTTTGAGGCTGGTGTCCCCATCCTGTCCCTGCCCCACCCTGGGTCCCTTTGGCGTTTAGTCCGAGATTACTTAGATCACTTAGTGAATGGCCCAGCTTTGTTATTTATTCCTTGCATGGCCAGTTTAGGCTTTTCTACTTATTCCTGATTTCCTAAAGATAAAATGCCTTCCAGAAAGCCGGACAAATCTCATCCACCTTAGTATCAATAACAACTCCAGGCTTCGGGCCTTTCGGAAGGTTTTTTTTAAACTAACGTGTCGTAATTTATTACTGTGTGCTAAAAGACGGTTAGGTCCTTTATAGTCAATACATGATGTGTGTAAATTGATCGAAGTAGGGTAGGTGCTCATTCCGCGTTGCTATGAATTCTTGCAACTCTGATATCGGTTAAGTCATTATCCTGGGTATAGAACTGAAACTTGAATCCCCGTGTCTGACGTTATTAGGCTCTAGACCTACCACATCCAAATTCTGGATCCCTTCTTGGAATCCGTAGTTTCCAAATCCATCCTTGCTTTGATATCCTGTACTCATTCCATTGAGGACTTTGCCCCGTTTCAAGCCCTTTCCTCTCCAGTAGCAGCTTTCTTGATGGAAACCTGTAGTCCAGAATCCACTCAGTTTGCTTATCCCCATTTTCTGCTCTTTGCTTTCAGGCATCTGGAAACAAAGTTAGTCGCCAGTCCGTATTGTGTGGAAGTCAGAACATCGTTCTAAATGGCAAGGTAAGGGACCAAGCCAGTTCCAGGATGCATATCTTTGCTTTCTTTCCACTAATTATCACATTGGGAGGGCAGATAATACGTTGCCATGTCTCCCATTTATTGCTGTACATTGAAAAATTCTCTTTTTAATTCTCCCAATTTTATTGAATCCAAAAAAGATTCAATAAAAGGAGGCAACAGAAAACCTTTTCCCCTTTATGCCAGGAATGGTATACCATGGCACCCAGAACTGAAATTATTTTAAAGTATTGTGCTGTGCCCTAAACTACTGGACACAAACATAAATAGGCAACAAAATATTTTAGTGTAGAAGCTGTAAAGTATAGTAGTATAATTAACTGTTTAGTAATAATGATTCAGCATCAACTGAAACTCTTAAAATTAATTTGAGAATGGGGGGGGCTCATTCGGTTAAATGTCTGCCTTTGGCTCAAGCCATGATCTCAGGGTCCTGGGATTGAGCCCCAGTCATGCTCCCTGCTCAGCGGGGAGCCTGCTTCTCCCTCTCTGCCTCTCCTCCTGCTTGTGCGCTTTCTCTTTCTGTGTCAAATAAATAAAATCTTAAAAAAGAGAGAGAATTGGAAAAGACACTAAACTATGAAACAGATTTGCAAAATGGAATATGAAAAGCTGAAAATTTGTAGTCTAAATAAATTGAAATAGCAGAGAGATGAGTATAAACTTGGGAATAATATTAGGACATTTCAGAACCAGAGAAAATATCAAGATATATTTGAACTTGACAAACACTGAACCCATAGTTTTTCCTGCCATTTTTCTTTAAAATGTTACATCTCGAACTTCAAAGGGAAAACAGTCTCACTATAATCAAGCAATCATAAATTTTTTCAGTAGAGACACAATTACTATCTCCATTAGCTCATCATGAGATTTAATAGAAAGAAATATAGTTCAGTAATTAGGTATAATTAGTAATTATAGACACACTGTTCCTGCACAAAATTAGAAAATTCAGTTAACCCTAATCTGACTCATTAGCAAATGTGTGGAGGTTTTTGTTTTTTTTTTTTAAGATTTTATTTATTTATTTGACAGAGAGAGACAAAGCAAGAGAAGGAACACAAGCAGGGGGAGTGGGAGAGGGAGAAGCAGGCTTCCCGTGGAGCAGGGAGCCCGATGTGGGACTCGATCCCAGGACCCTGGGATCATGACCTGAGCCGAAGGCAGATGCTTAACGACTGAGCCACCCAGGCGCCCCAGTGTGTGGAGTTTTTAAGAAATCCCTAAGGTGGGCACCTGGGAAGGCTGCTTCTCCCTCTCCCACTCCCCCTGCTTGTATTCCCTCTCTCAGTGTGTCTCTCGCTCTCTGTCAAACAAATAAATAAAACCTTAAAAAAAAGAAAAAGAAATCCCTCAGGTAATTTCAAAACATTTTCTGTGATTTTGTAGGGAACATTTCTTTATTAAATTGTGATAAAATATATGTGACAAAATTTGCCACTTTAACTGTTTTTAAGTGTACGATCCATTGGCATTAATTATATTTACAATTGGGGTGCCTGGGTGGCTCATTTGGTTGAGCATCCTACTCTTGATCTTAGCTCAAGTCTTCATCTCAGGGTCATGAGTTCAAGCCCCGCATTGGGCTCCACGCTGGATGTGGAGCCTACTTAAAAAAAAAAATTCTATTTACAACCATTGTGCAGTCATCACCACTATCTATTTCTAAAACTTTAATCACCCAGACAGAAGCTCTATACTCATTAAGGAATAACTCCCTGTTTCCTCCCCATCTCCCTACCCGTCTCCCCACCGCTGCCCCCCACACCCCGCCTAGTCACTAATAACCTCAATCCACTTCCTGTCTCTGTGAATTTGCCTATTCTAGATATATAATATTTGTCCTTTTTTGCCTGGCTTATTTCACTTAGCATAATGTTTCAAAGTTCATGTATGTTGTAGGATGTAAACTAATACATATATACACGTTTACATCCATGTAAACTATATACGTATATAGTTTAGCTTTACTTGGCTTTCTGTTACTTACTTTTTTTACACTCACTTATAATAACCACAGTAGGAAACACCTATCACACTAAGTACCATTGTTCTCAATTCTGTTTCTAAGATTCACTGTGGTTTGTGCGTTTTCACTACTGTGTACAGTTCCATTTATCCCCTCTCCTACTGGTTATTTTGTTCCCAGTTTTTTGTTTTGTCCCTTTCAGAACTGTAAGACTTCTATTTTCCTAAACCCTTACATGAGGTATTATAGTGCCTGCAGGGATAGGCAAGGATCAAATGAGTAAGGAAGACTGGGTGCCAACAACAGAGAGTGGCGGGGCCTGGTGAATTGAAGAATACTTGTCCTAGCTAAGCTCAAGCTGATTGTTGCCATGTGGGAATATAGACCTATATTTTCTCAAAACAAATTGGAAATCTGGATTTTTTTAATGCAAAATGTCCCGCTATTCAAATAATAGCATTAAATTCAAATGATGAAACAAGGTGCATGAGCCAAACAAAACAGGTTTCTGGGCACAGTTCTTAGACCTCCAGCTTCCCACCTCTGCCTCATCTTTTGTCAAGTTCAGTGAACTCTGCTCTACTACCATATTCTTCCCTGTGAGGTCCTTATGTGCACTCACTTTCATTTTAACATCCTGCTGCCTCTCTTTTGAATCTGACTTCTCATCTTCAGCTCCATTCTTTATGAGATAGGAAACCAGGATTTGAGTCCCTCATGCTAAATCTCTTTGACCTCCTGTGATTATCCATTACTTAATGTTTTTCATGTTTGCTTCTTCAAATGGGAGTGTAATTTAGGCTGCCTGAGGGACTTCTGTGGATTTTCTTTATTTCCAGATTAAGATTGCTATCTTTGTTTAAAACACAGTAAAACAAAAACAACCATTACCAAATACTCAGAACTCTTGGTATTCTGCTTCCTTCCAAAGAAAAGGAAGTCATTTTCTCTGATTGTAGATGGAAGCATAAACAGAAAACAATGATTAAAGTAAATGAAGGATTTCAGATGAAAGAGTACATACTAGAAACAGATATCTCTTTAAACTTGAAGGAGACCCATTTTTAAAAACCAAGACGAACTATAGTCCTTTATAGTCAGCAGCTGATGAGAAATTGTCTTTTTACTGATAGAGGTTTTATAGACCAAACATATGCAGGTGAGATTGGTAAACTCTTTGAAGTATGAGCCCACTTCTTTTTTAGTAATTTCTCAGAGCCTCGTGTTCAGGTTAGTGACATATCTAAATTCACCTGTATATGTCAGGTTAGTGACATATCTAATTTCACCTGTATTCCCCATCTACCTCTTCTGTCCTGGGCCCCAGACCTTCATTTCAACTGCCTGTTGGTCATCCAACAGGTACCTCAAATAGCATTTCACAATTGAATTTGCCATCCAGTCCAGTCCCCAGAATCGCTTACCCCATTCTAAACTCTCATCCTAGATTCCCTTTCTCTCTTTCCCCAATATCAAAACAATGACCAAGTCATATAGATTCTCTTCCCTTTTTTTCCATTTTTAACGTTTTACAGTGGAACATTTATTTTAAAGATTTTATTTATTTGAGAGAGAGAGTGGGCAAGAGAGAGCATGAGGCAGGGAGAGGGCCGGAGGGAGAGGGACAAGCAGACACCCCGCTGAGCAGGGAACCCGACGCAGGGCTTGATCCCACGACCTCGAGATCACGACCTGAGCCGAAGGCAGACGCTTAACCTACTGAGACATCCAGGTGCCCCTCTAGTGGAACATTTTAAAAGTTATCTTTATTGAGACATAATTACATACAATGAATTGTACCCATTTTAAGTGTGCAGTTTGACAAGTTTTGGTGTTTTTTTTTTAAGATTTATTTATTTGAGAGAGAGAGAGCCCAAGCAGGGGGTAGGAGCAGAGGGAGAGGGAGAAGCAGGCTCCCCACTGAGCAGGGAGCTTGATTTGGGGCTCAGTCCCAGGACCTTGGGACCATGATCTGAGCTGAGGCAGATGCTTAACCAACTGAGCCATCCAGGCGCCCCTCAGTTTGACAAGTTTTGACTGATGCTTACACCTCTGCAACCACAATTAAGATATAAAATATTTCTATCACCCTCATTTCCTTGGACCCCTCTGCTGTCAGTCCTCCTACTACCCTTGGCCCCAGATAACCACTGGTGTAAGACCAATAGAGATTACTTTCGCATTTTCTAGAGTTGCCTGTAATGGGAATCATGTACTCTTTGTTGTCAGCCTTCTTGCACTCAGCATAATGTTTTTGAGATTTATCCATGTTGTGTACATTAGTGGATTAACAATTCATTACTTTTTATAGATGGGCAGTATTATTATGCAACTTTTAAGACATGTACCAAAGTAGAGAGAACATATAATGAATCTCCATATACTCATTCACCAGCTTCTGCAGTTAGCAATATTCTGACGTCCTTGTTTCATCTCTGTACCTGCCCCACAAACCCATACCTATTTTGACCAGGGGCAGAGCAGGGAGTTGGGGTATTTTAAAGCAAATTGCAAACACTGTATTATTTCACCCATAAATACTTTAATATATATCACTAAGATTTAAAGATTTTAAAAAATGAGTAGAGTACCCTTATCATGATATATTTTTTAAGAAGCCAGTTATTTCCTACTATCATCTAATCCTCTGTCCATGTTCAATCTTTCTAGTATCTTAACATGTCTTTTTATAGTTGGTTTATTCAAATCAGGATCCAAACAAGGTCAAGTACACATTGCATCTGGTTGATATATCTCTCAGGACTCTTTAAGCCTGTAACAGTTCTTTTCCCCCAGCCTGTTTTTCTCTCCATCCCACTTATATGTTGAAGAAACTGGCTCATTGTTCTGTAGAATTTTCAAATTTTGAATTTGGTCAATTCTATTTCCATGGTTGTTGAATGCAGTCTTTCTGCCCCTCTCCTCCCTCTTAATTAGTAGATCTGGAGGCTTGATCAGATTCCTCTACCTTGTATTTCTCTTTTCTTCATGCACAACTATTGTCATAGAGAAGGCCCATTCTCTCATTTTACCTTGATCCACTGTAGTCATCTAAAGTGTCACTTTCCCTCCAGTCTTACCTGCCCTCTCCCTTCACTCTAGACTGCTTTCAGAATAATATTTCTAAAATGAAGATTCAGTGTGTTCTGCTTAAAAAGTTTGATTCCTTATATCCTCTATATCCTCTAGGGAAAAAGCCTAAGCTTCTGTACTCAGTATACATAATGCCTCATAAGCCCTAGGCCCAGCTTACTTGTCCAGCTGTAACCCCAGCCATATGCAATTTTATTTTTTTTACCCCATTTATTCAAAAGACACTTCCAGAATGCCTACTCTTTACCAAGTATGGGGCATTAATTCCCCCAAACTTCTGAGTTACATAATTCACCCTGAAGCCCATCCAGGCAATCTTTGGGGCAGTTGGATATCATACCCTGCAGTGTAGCACTTCATCTGAGTCCAGAATTTGGGAGAGGAACCAGGAGCTCAGTAGGCCTACCTCCAGGAGCATGAAGTTGGAGGTAGTCAGTAGTGTTGGGAGATTGGACAAAGGTAGGAGCAGCCTGGATTCTCACTGAGCAAGCAGCCAAGGCTTAAGGGCGGGTAGAATCAAGTGAATCTGAGGTGGTGAGTAAACTAGGTCAACTACAGGCATTCTTAGTAAAGGTCTGTTTATTCAACGAGTCTTATTTATGGGATATTAAGGGCAGAGCTCATGATATGCTGGGAACATCTTCAACTGAGTCAGTGTTGTTTTTTTTTTTTAAGATTTTATTTATTTATTTGAGAAAGAGAGAGAGAAAAAGAGAGCACAAGCAAGGTGAAGAGCAGAGGGAGAAGCAGACTCCCCGCTGAGCAGGGAACCCAATGCAGGACGCGATCCCAGAACTCGATCCTGGGACTCTGCGATCATGACCCGAAATGAAGGCAGACGCTTAACAACTGAGCCACCCAGGCGCCCCTAACTGAGTCAGTGTTAGGAGGGCAGTTCTCTTTACCTTAAAGTTATCTCTTTTGACAGAACATGTGACTCAGTAGATCATAGCATAACTTCAATCAGTGTCTACTTACCTAGTCTTTTTTGTTGTGTTTTAGGCTATGTTGGTAGCTTTTTAAAATGTGCTTTATTTTGTAGACCATTGTGATGAATGACTGTATTATCCGAGGGGATCTAGCAAATGTAAGAGTTGGACGTCATTGTGTTGTGAAAAGTCGGAGTGTCATAAGGCCACCGTTCAAGAAATTCAGCAAAGGGTATGTAATTTACTTACCTTGTTTCAGTATTGTGCGGGATGCTGCTATGGGTGGTGTATTCCGGGTATTGAGTTGTGGTATAAGGAGCAGGTCTGTGCTATTGTTTGGGTCACTGAGGAGGAATTCACTGTAATGAACGCAACTCTGGTGGTGGTTATCTTAGTCTAGTTGTTGGTTGGTTGCCAGAAACAGAATCCACTTAAATTGGCAAAGGCAGAAGGGGTTCTGATGAAGAGATGCAGGCATATTTAACGGAATATAAGGGTAGGAAAAGGGGCCAGGCTTCATAGGGACTAGAACCTGTAATTGGACAGCTAGCCAGAATCAAGACAACTATGCTGACTATTGCTCTGTCACCGAGATTATGTTGTTTCTTGTCGTTCTTTGTCCCTGCATTTCTGCCTCCCTCTCCTCTCTTTCACGTTGGCTTCATCTTCCCCCTTTTCTCATGGAGCCAACCATGCTGCATCAGCCCCTTATTTATATCAGTTCTTTATTCAGGCTTCAAAAGATAGTAGCCAAAGATTTTAGGTCTTATTTCCAGAATCTTGGCAGAGGGAATCTGATTGGCTCAACTGGAGTTAAGTGCCCACCTCTGGTCTAAACAGTTTTGACTCAGAGGGCAGGGGCAAGTCAAGCCCACTGTTTTCTCAGTGGGAGTAAGGATTATCCAGGGAAGGGCATGGACAGGGCAGGAAAACTGTCCACCATGCCTGATGTGCTGGTATTTTTGTTGTTGTTGTTGTTGTTGTTCTTTTGCCTCTCTCCCTCTTTTCCCTCCTGGCTCCTACCTATGGCACCATCTGCAATACATTGAGTAATTCAACAAGCATTGATTGAGTGCTTTCTTTATGTCAGTCACTTCATTATAAGGTGGGTACGTAAAGATGGATGAAATAGCGTTCCTGCCTCAAAGTTCTCAAAAACCTAGTAGTAGAAACACATACAGAGATGGCTACTATAGAATGTGATACTATAATGTGATAGCCACTGTGTATTGTGACACTCCTATCATAGGGCTGAACTTGGTTAGGGAGGAACAATAAAGAGAGCAACCAACTCAGACTGTAATACCTGGGAGTAAAGCACACAGGAATCATCCTGCATGTCTCAGAATGAAGTCAGACTCCAGGCTTTCCATCACAGACAGGAATGGGAGCAGGGAATCACTGCAAATCATTCACGTGAAAACATTTGCTCATTAGCTCAGAAGGCTTTTGGGGGGAAACAAGAAATCCTTGTGGTGGGCTTTCATGGTTCTACACTGTGACAGGTACTCTGCCAGAGTCATTGGCTCCCCCTTCTGATAGAGGCGTTACTGTGCTGGCTATGGTCTCGGAAGAGCTCTGAGAATAAATAGGGGGTTTATTGGTGAACAGTAGGATGTGTAAATAGGAATAGTCCACATGAGAAATACAGGAATACAAAAGTGTAAATAGCAACACATGAACAGCAAGTGACCATGGATTCCTCTGTCCCCCACCCCATGTATCCTCAATATAAGAACCAGATAATAATATCAAGTTTGGAATTTTTAATTTAAAATTCAGGTGCTGACAGTGCTGCTGTAGACTGATAAGATCAAGGAATTCATTGTCACACAAGGGTCCCAGATCAAAAATATGAATAGATTAAGGAAGATTTAAATAAACTATAGCTCCAGGGAGGACAGATATCATCTCTGACAAAATAGAGCACAGGACTAGATAGAGCCAGTGAGCATCCAGCTACTTTATTTTAGTTCTAGTCCAAATATTTTCCATCCCAAGGTACTGAAGTTACTGTAGATGTGATCATAGAACCATAGTCAGTAACATTTGAGGAATCATGGAGAATGGCAATGATGTCAGAAGTCTGGAGAAAGCCTACTGACTCCTCCTCCTTCAATTCTTAGCTTAAATGTCACTTTTTTTTTCAAGATTTTATTTATTCATTTGAGAGAGCGAGAGGACAGACGAGCATGGGGATGGGCAGAGGGAGAAGGAGAGAGGAAGCAGACTCCCCACTGAGTGCAGAGCCCAACACAAGGCTCGATCCCAGGACCCTGAGATCATGATCTGAGCTGAAGTCAGATGCTTAACCAACTGAGCCACCCAGGTGCCCCTTAAATGTCACTTTCAATTAAGCTTTTACCAAACTTCCAATCTAGGTGAAGTCTTCACTTATAACTTGGTATTTTTTACTTTGTAGTACTTATCATATTTGTAATTAATTACTTATATAAGCATTTGTTTAATCTCTCTTTTCTTGATTGCTAGCTCCTCATGGGCCAGATAGTGTCCTTTTTGCTTGCCATTCTATCTCCAATTTCTAGCATAGAGTCTGGCATACAGTAGGTACTCAGTAAAATCAGTAAAATCAAAAATATACAAATTTTTGGAATGTTGAATGGTAGAAAATATATCCCAGGAACTGATGTCAGTCTCCTACAACATTGTAGGGCAGATTACCAAAAATGTGACCTATGAGCATTTCCAAGGAGGCAGGAATGAGCAAAACACGCATTCATTTGGTGCCAGCCCTTTTAGCTTGGAAGGTCTCGCTGCTTCTGTCTTCCTGTTTCCTTGCACACTGCTTGGTCCAATATTTCTGATTTTGAGCTAGTAATCCCATTCATCTTCAACATTACAGAATTCTCCTAGCCTGAGGATTCCTTCCTTTTAGGAACAATCTTATTAAGATGAGATGATGAAGTTGAGAGTATGATCAGCAGTTCTATAAACCTTGACCAAAAGCAAATCACCTTGACATTTTCTTTTGTTCGTCTTCTTTTCCTTCTCCAGCGTTGCATTCTTTCCTTTACATATCGGGGACCATGTCTTTATTGAGGAAGATTGTGTGGTCAACGCAGCTCAGATTGGCTCTTATGTTCACGTTGGCAAGAACTGTGTGATTGTGAGTATGGTGTCTTGGCTGGCTAAATGGCCTTACTGCCCCTCCATCTCCCGTCCCTCACATCAGTGGGCCTCTGCTTCTGTGGCCAAGGAGGGTAGAAGTAGTTTCTGGTCTACTCGAATTATTATTGGATTTGGAGTTTTCTAGGCATCCGTAATCACGGCTAAACTTTATCTAACCTCTTCTATAAGATGTTAAACTCTTGCCTTTGATTTTTCCATTTGACCCTCATAACCATCCAAGGTGGTAGTTAACTGTTATTATCCCTATTTGCAGACAACAAGCCTGAAGACCTTAGAAATTAGGGGATTTGACAGAGCTATGAAGTGGTAGAGCTGGGATTTGAACCCAGGCTTAATGAATAGCCATGCCTGCTCTATGGCCTACCTGTTGCTTTACCTCCAGGATCGTACAGTCTAGTGGGGACAAGGGATATGACATTAGGGGAACTCCAAGTAGTTCAGGGTGATGGGCATGTGGGGTACAAGTGGGCCCTTGCTCAGTGGACATGTGGGATCCTGGTCCACAGGAGCCTTGGCATCTACTTGTTTCATCTGGCCAAGGCTTTACGAAGTTGGATTTCTCAGTATTCTTAGATGAAGAGCTTGATTTCAGTTGGGATTTATGAGAACATCCTGGGTGAGAATGCTAATGACCAGAGTTGAACTGCCTTAAGAGTTAGGGAAAATGTTTCCTATATTTTTTTTTTAAGATTTTATTTATTTATTTGACAGAGAGAGACACACAGCTAGAGAGGGAACACAAGCAGGGGCGAGTGGGAGAGGCAGAAGCAGGCTTCCCGCTGAGCAGGGAGCCTGGTGTGGGACTCGATCCCAGGACCCTGGCATCATGACCTGAGCCGAAGGCAGACGCTTAACGACTGAGCCACCCAGGCACCCCAGTTTCCTATATTTTAAATTTGTACCCAAATCCTAGCTTCTAGGAAAAGCCAAGGACTTTTCATGTTATTCCCAATAATACAGAGGCAGCTCTCTCTTCTGGATAATACTCAAGTATAAAATACTTGTAGAAACCCTGTGGTCACATTCTGCAAGCCACGAGAGCACAGCAAAGATGGACCGTGCAGTGGAGAACCACACTGCTGTGGAAAACATCAATCCGGCCTGTCACTCAGAATTAAGGGAAGTGGTTGTTTTGCCAAATATTCTCCTCCAAAGGAGTCCCTTCATATATATTAGAGACAGAGGGTCTTTCATTTGGCATGATATTGAAGAAAGGGGGAAAATTGTGAAATCCATCCTGTCCCCTCATTCTGTGTGACAGAAGTTGGCTTTCTAAGCCACAGCTGGATTTTTCTTTTTCTTCCGCAAAGTGATGACATGCTCATAGTAGCCTAGTGTGTTAGCCCCGTCCTTTATCCCTGGAGCTAAATGTCTGAAACATTAAAATCCAAATACTCTTCCCAGTGCGTAGGGAGTTCTAGTCTTCTTGTCTTGCTCTGCTTTTTTGTGCCCCTTTCTGATACATCAGTTCAGACATAAGTACCTATTTGCTGAGCCTTTTACAAATTCTCAAGTAATCTCAGGAGAAAGATTATTTTACAACTCTAGAATCTTGGAGCTAGCAGGGACTCTTTTTAGAGTCCAGCTGTCCCCATGACCCACAGATCCTTCCGATAGCATCCATTTGGTGGTCTAACTCCTTTCGGATGTGTGAGGGTATAGTTGCCAGTCAGAGTTGCCCAGATGCCTGCAGGAAAAGCCTCACAGACAATCTTCATAGTCTCTGTTACCGTGCTGTGAGCTTTACATTTATTGTCTCTAATCCTCACAGCGGCCCTGTGGTTTGGTTTTATGTCCTGTTTCCCAGACGAGGAACCCAAGGCTCAGAGATGCTGAATAACTTGTATCTGGAAATACAGGTAGCTGTAATACTGGCAACATGGAGTTCTTGACTCCTCCTGGGAAAGTCCTCTAGGAAAGAATAAAGAAGTGGTTTCAGCTTTTCACCTCCTCATCTATTGCCAATGCACTCATGCCTAAGAAGTACCCGTGTTTTGACTTTTACTGCTGTTTAATTGATCAGTTTGCCCAGAATGCTCTGGAAGCTGATTAAGCATCATTTACCTGAGTGGGCAGAATGGCTAATGAGTGGACACAGCAGGTGCCTCCAGGCTGTGTGGTGGCCGGTGGTACACAGCGGAAGTTTTATTCTCACTGCTCTTCTTTTCCAGGGCCCTTTGTCTGCAGATCCCTCTGTGTGAATGTGTCATGCCTCATGCAGCACATTCTGCTTCTTTCCCCAGTGCCCTATGCGCTTAATCAGAATTATTAGGAGCATAGGTGTCATAGGACGTCTTTGGGTTAATTTGGGAGTCACCCGGGGAGCTGGCCAGCTGCTGTATTTTGGGAATTGCCACTAGCAGGTAATTCATGGGAGAGAACTTTCCAAGAATGAATGGAGAGCTGCGGTTATAACTTGTTTCTGAGCTACAGATAGTGCCAAGTGTTGCCAAGGCTGTTATCCACCTCGCCAGAGACAGCTTAGTAGTCACTTAAAAAATTCAGACCTTCAAGGTATAAGCTTTCTAAAAAATTCATTTAGCAATCTACCTGGAAATTCCTGGAAATACTTATGATTTGGGCATTTATTAATAATTGGGAAATTTTTAATACAACCAAATCAAAGTATCTTTCATATTCTTCGGTAAAATCTGAGATCTAGACAGGTTAGCATTGTCCTGATGTTGTTAGGGATTCCACATTGTCAGTCAAGTATGTTTTATCAGATCCTCTGACCAGGACACAAGTGAACTCACAGGCCCTGGTGATGTAAGTGCAGTCGGTAAAGACCAAAACTTTCACTTACTCAGCAGGTAGTCTGAGGCACAACTTTAATCTGTATGTAGAAGAAGCCTTCCCTTTCCTTTAACCCAGGAAACAGATGGATCTACCAGACCTTATTTCTTGCCCTCAAAATGCTGTGGGTGATGCAGAATTCAAAAGTGGCAACAGTGGATAAAGTCAAGCATAAGGCTTGGCCTAAACTTTCAAAACGAACATATTGGCTAATATGAACCAAGAGTACAAAAGTAGACCCTAATTCTATGCACAGGTGGCTCCAGGGGTTCAATTGATGTCATGAGAATTAATCTCTTTCTCTTTCCCGCTTTCCTTTGGGAGGCTGTCAGGCAGATTCTTCCCTCTTGGAAACAAGACAGTTGGTCTAAATGTCTGTCCTGTCCTCTAGAAACCCCACTGGAAAGAGCTTCCTTTCCCAGTAGTCCCAGCAGAAGCCTTGATGTTGTGATTCATCAGACTGATTTGGCTCATTCCATAAAACAGTCCTTGTGGCCAGGCTTGGGGTTTGGGGTTAGGATAGGGGACTGTCATGGGCAGAGGGGTATTACCAAGGACAATACAGGTTCTGTTACCAGAAGAAAGGGGATCAAATGTTGGACAAGCAAAAAAGTAAATGTCCACTAAATTTAAGAAAAAAGACAGAAAATTCTACAACTCTTGGGAGACTGAATTTCAGTCTGTAATACCTAAGATAACCTGAACTGTCCCTAGCATACAATTCCTTCCCCAAGTTCATGTACACACACTCGCACACACACACACACACACTCGTACCCCTACCTCCTCCTGCTTGTCACCTGAAGTAGGGAATTGTGGCCAAACCTCTTGTCATTGGCCCTGTCTATTGTATGATATCATGAATGGAGAATATATAAAATAGCATTCCATGCAGCAGACAGGCAACTTTTACTCGAGCAATTCCTGCTGTATTTCCTAGTGACAAGATTTTAATTTCAGGGGCGCCGATGTGTGTTGAAAGATTGCTGCAAAATTCTTGACAACACAGTATTACCCCCAGAAACTGTGGTGCCACCATTCACCGTCTTCTCAGGCTGCCCAGGTAAGCTTGGTGTTGATTATGAAAGCTCAATCTCATTTTCCTTCACAAAAGTAATGCATGCAGTTTTTGTCTCTGACAATGTATTGATCTAGCTAATTTAAAAATTCTCCTGCTACAGATTACCTAGAAATGCTATCTAAAAATGTAACCAGTATCTTTTTAAATGCACAATTGAGTTCACAAGGAAATTTCAAGAGTCAGAAACAAAGAGGAGACTAAACCCACACTATAAGCATGGTTAGGTTTATGCATCTTCATAGTAAGTAGAGTGGTTTAGGGTTTGATACTTCTGTGGGGATGAGAGAGAAAGCCTTATATGGCAGAGAGATCCTCTTGAAGGGTGGTCTCTCAATAAAAGTTGATCTAGAGTCAACCTGCCACCAGCACAGGGAAAGTACAAAGAAGCAAGACTCTCTTGGTCTGGGCTCTAGGTGGAAAAAGAAAAAGTCTCTCCAGAGAATTCTAACAATGCCTTCATGTTGGTTGGGATTTTGAACTTATACTTCCCACACTGCCCAGGAATGCCCAAACTGAAAAGTTGGCATAAAACATGGTCTAAGGCCAACGATAGCTCTAGAACACCTAAGGGAAGCAAATATATCCCCTCTTGACCTTGGCTAATGGAATGCCCTTAGGTAAAGCCCTCGTGAGCTCAGAGTTCCCAGTGGCCAAACATGTGAGCAAACAAAAGTGATACATGCTCCTCCTAGAAAACTTGGAAAACACAGAAAAACAGAAGGAAGAAGAAAACCTCATGTCTCCCACCCCTCCCCAAGGCAGTCTCTTTTCTTCTCTATATGATTTTATGTGGTTGAACTCATGCAACATGGACAGAGGCACACCAGAGATTCACAGATGGAAGATGCTATTTATGGCGAGAGATTTGGCAATATATGAGACGTACCCCTGGATGGTTTAGTTACTTTTCCAATTAAAAAACTCATCACTCAGATCATTGACTGTGGATTTCAAAGATGTAGAAAATCATCCATTCAGATTCTTTGGGGAGGAAATGGGCTGTTCTGCTGTTTCAGAAGAGCTGAAACAGCTTTTGCTCTTGCAAAGGAGGAAGAACCTTGCTGAGTGAGATTCTCCCTATATTAGGTTCCCACTGTGAGAAAGTATCATCATTCTTAGCAAGTGCAGATCCGAACAGCCCCAGCAGTCGTTTTAGGTTGATTGTCAGACAGGTATCTGATCTGCAGTGAGCAGTATATTGCCAGAGAAATATCTTAACCTCTTTTAACTTATTCAGGGTCCTTAGAACCAACTGTGGTCTTTGGGCATCGATGGCCAAGGCAGGGAGGCACTACTTGGTATTTGAAATCCAAATAAGCGCTGTGTTTGGAGGTTCTGATGGAGGATTCAAGCTGCCTGAGACCTTAGAGATAATTGTGTAGATGGGGAAACAGGCCTAGAGAGATTGGGTCGTCCACAGGGTCAGAGCTGGTTCGTGGGAAAGCCTTGACTAGCTCTTAAGACCCCTTATTTAGAGTCCAGTACTTTCTGCACTGTGACAAGATACTTCCCATGTTTGTTTTTAGTAGTTTCACAAACAAATGCTAACCATCTAGATAATGCTGTTGGTAATCTTCATCCTTAGTAAAGAGGCCTAAGGTTGTAGGACAACTGGCACATTTTTGGAGGGCTCCTCTGCATGTCACTGAGTAGTGGAACAAATGAAAGGCAAACCATCCAGAAAGAACCTGGGTAAGGAACCAAAAAGCTAAAACTGCCTGTAGGAGTCAGACAGACGTGATTGAAGTGACAGCCTATCATGGCTGGCCAAGAGTACAGACCTAACATTCTAAGAACTTCTGATAGTTCATGAGGAGCTAAAAATCTGAATATCTACGTGGGATCTCTGAATTTTTGAGTGTTGGTTGCTAACTTTTTAAAAAGATTAAATACTGTGCAGACCAAACATATGTTTGCAAATCTAACATAGGCTGCTCATTTGTAAAAGATGCCTGTGAGAATTTTATATTTTTTAGACCTTTTTTTTCTATCCTACCTGTTATTTTCTCTCTGTATATGTGCAAGTGTGTTTGTTTTGTATGTATATTAATGCACAGGTGTGTGTACCATATGTGTGTATATATGTACTTGTGTGTATTACACAGATATATAAAACTGTTTAGACCTGTATAAATAGATTCACACTTTCTATTCTGTTTGGAAATTTGCTTTCTTAACAGTGTATCTGGGGCATCTTTTCTTGTCAGTATGAAGAGATTCCCCTCACTCCTTTTCATGGTTGCATGGTTTTCATTACATAAATGTACCACAGTATAACTGACCCATTCCCTGGTATAATGGACCATTAGACGTTGTACCTGGTTTTTCACTATTAGAAACTTTGCTGCATTAATATTCTTGTACATATATTGATCAGTTGAGCAAGGATATTTGTAGGATAAATTCTTAGAAGTTGGATTGTCAGGTCACAGAATATGAACTTTTAAAAGTTTTGCTAGATTTTCCAAAATTGCTCTTCCAAACGGTTATATGAATGTACACTTCTGCCCATAGTGTATGAGAGTGCCTCTTTCCCAGAAATCCTTAAATACAATTTTTTGTCTTTTGATAGGATATTTCTGTTCTACTCCCATCCATGATTTGTCTGTATGTAGCAGGTTTGGGGATTGGATTCAGTTTCATTGTATGAACAACAGAACAGTTTCTTACCTCAAAGGGTGCTCACCTGGGCTTGCCCAGCAGGTGTCATACCAGAATCCAGGGGATGGACTAATCCTTGTCTGGAACAACGTCCCATGTAGTCGGAGATGCCTTAACTCTTCAGATCATGCAGTAATGTATATTTATCCATTCGGGGAATTGTGTTATTTGTCTCCCCCCACACACAAAAATATCATCTTGAAGATACAGTCAGTAGAAATATTCTAGCATTGAAGCTGGAAGACCTAGAATTTAGATGCTCATGAGTAAAGAAAAGGGCCCTGTAGTGGTTTAAATCGAAATCAGAGCTGCTGGCCTCCCCCAGCTCCAGTTGGTTGACCAGGTCTTTCTTTCCCCAGGGCTGTTTTCAGGGGAGCTCCCAGAATGTACCCAGGAGCTGATGATTGACGTCACCAAGAGCTACTACCAGAAGTTTTTGCCCTTGACACAGGTCTAATGTCTCTGCCTCGTGTCTCAAATTTGCTTGAGCTCTAAGATGAACTTGGGGACAAAGTGAGCCAGCCAGCATCTACAAAGAGCTCTTGTGTCTTTGATACCTTCCACCCTCTTTTTTTGTTTGTCTGGTTTTAATTCTTTAGAATTTCTCAATCCTTCCAGGTTCTAAGCTCTTAAGACTTTAATAACAGAATGTCTGGAGGAGTTGTGTCCAAATGCTGTGCTTAAACCTTATCTATTAACGGCCTCTTCATACCATTATCTGTGGAACACAGAATCATCTGTTCCCAACACGCCCACCCCTTGGTCCTGTGGATGACGGGATCCTGGCCCACAGAGCAGAGCACTGTCCCAGCGTGGAGGTTATGAAGCTGGTCTACTGCTCATGGCCATTAGCTGCCCACAATGAACACCGCTCACATGGGTTGCTCCCAGCTTTCCTGAGCTAACACATTTGGCCAGTTGCCACAATTGTTCATGGTCTTGGGGGAGAAAGTGTTGGTGACTTTTCAGAGCCCAGATTCCTGTTGGCTACTAAAACTTGAAAGGAGGGGTGGTTAGCATTTCTCTTCTTCCCGAAATGACTTTAAGTGTTATTTTAACCCAGGGTGATTAATAAAAGACTTTCTAGCATTCTATTCTAGGGCCTTTGGCTTTCACTAGAAGGGGGGCCCCCAGCACCCAGATTTTATTTTTGCAAAGACCCAGGTATGAGTCTGCCATGTGGATGGACTAGTCTGGCAGTCACTCCTTGCCTCACAGTATTTGCAGGCAACAGCATATGCCTTATTTCCTTGAAGACATAGCATTTGTGACACTTGTCCTCTTGGCCTAGAGCCATTCATCCGCTCTGTATTTGCCATAAACCTCACAGTTCAGACCAAAATATCTCTACCTGGACCCAATCACATATATACATGGGGGCCTCTTAAATCATTCTGTGGGCACAGAGCCCCAAGGAGTAAATGAAGTTACCAGTGCTGTTTTTAACCATCTCCTGGGTAATAACACAACCCTGCCTGGTTCTGCTCCGACCTCTTGGTCTAAAAGATTTAGAAGGGAGGGTCTGAGAACCTTGGCTTTGCTTAATGCTCTGATTCTGCTGTGAACAGGGTAAGATGGTTCAGCCCTGAAGGTTAGGATCTAGCAGGAGCTGGACGGACTTAATATGTGGTTGTGGGGTTTGTTAAAATGGCTATATGTGATGATTTCCTCTAGGTCAATGTAAAACTGTTTTCCAGTTCTTCTTCTTTTTTTTTTTTAATGCATTAAAAGATTGACACGTGAAACAAATCACTTGAAGGTGATCCCTCTCCCCCTCTGTGATGGCTGCCTCACTTCCTCGGCCACTTCCCTGCACGCCTGGTGCCCTGCTACAGACTTTGCATTCACTAGTCTGCTTATGGCTCACACCAACCCAGTAAGGGGGATATTATTCCTATTTTACAGATGAGAAAAAACTCAAAGATCTTAGATAACTTGGTCCAGTCCCTACAGTGACAAAGTGGCTGACCCAGGAGTCACACCCATGTCTGTCTGGCAGCACAGCCGTGCAATTCAGCTCTGCCCTGGTCAGATGAGGCTAGGCTTACCCTTAGAGCACATCTGCTATGTGCCCTGTCTGATACCAGTAGTCTGTGATGGTTGCAGGGGTTTTGTTTTGTTTTGTTTTTTGGGGTTTTTTTTTCTTTTTGGTCCTTTCCTGGCATCTCCCCCAGCTCCCTTCTTTTGTGCCACCATGAAGGCAAATCTTGGAATTGACAGAGCTTTGATGTTGTCTAAGCTAATCTCCATTAGCTAGTGAGATCTTCCAGGGCACGTCTAACAGATTGCCATCCAGCCTGTGTTTGAATACCTCTAAAAGG